TACACATACATATGCACATACACATATATTTATTATTTATTTATTTACAGTATTTCTGTACCACTTTTCTCACCCTTAGGTGACTCAAAGCAGTATATATGTGTATGTATGTACATACATATCCACACATACATACACATATATACACATACACATATATGTGTATATATGTACACATATATGTATACATGTACATCTCAAAGCGGTATATATATACATGTGGATATACACATACATATCCACACATACATACACATATATACACATACACATTTATGTATACATGTACATATACAAGAATACATGTACACATACATGCATACATACACATTCACATATACATACACATATACATATACACATATATACACAAACACCTATATGTATACATATAAACATATACATGGCTGGTCCAGCCCTCTGGCATGGGCTGGTCCATGAGGTGACTAAGAGTCGGAAGCAACTGAACGAATAAACAACAACATAGACATATACATACACAAACATATACATATACACATCCATATACATATGAACACATACACAGAGATACATACACAGACACATATACATATATTGCTGCTTTGAGTCTACTTCAGTAGAGATAAAGTGGCGTATAAATAAATATTATAAATAATAATAATATACACATAGATATATAGACATATACATACATATGCATGCCCCAAAATTGTCTCTATAAAGTGGCGTATAAATAAATATTATAAATAATAATAATATAATATACATAGACATATACATACACAAACATACATATACAAATCCATATACATATGAACACATACACAGAGACACATATACATATACATAGACATATACATATACAAACATACATATACAAATCCATATACATATGAACACATACACAGAGACACATATACATATACATAGACATATACATACACAAACATACATATACAAATCCATATACATATGAACACATACACAGAGACACATATACATATACTGCTGCTTTGAGTCTACTTCAGTAGAGATAAAGTGGCGTATAAATAAAAATTATAAATAATAATAATAATAATATACACATAGATATATAGACATATACATACATATGCATGTTCCAAAATTGTCTCTATAAAGTGGCGTATAAATAAATATTATAAATAATAATATAATAATAATATACACATAGATATATAGACATATACATTAGGCTTGGGCAATCCATGGTTCTAAATGGTTCTAAAGTACTTACAAAACTAATGTTCTGGTGGTGAAAATTTCAGAACTCTAACAAAACTCTCAAAATTTCAGAATAAATGGCAGTTCCTAATTGGTTCTGTCATTAAAATCACCAATAATGTAATAATAATTAAATTTTGAAAGTTTTGTTAGCGTTCTGAAATTTTCACCACCAGAACTTTAGTTTTGTAAATACTTTAGAACCATTTAGAACCATGGATTGCCCAAGCCTAATATACATACATATGCATGTCCCAAAATTGACTCTAGGAGTTTCCTAGGCCCTCCCATGCACCTCTAAAATTTGTTGGGATGGGAAACCAGTGGCCGTCATGGCGTGTGGCCATCCCACATATTCCAGACGGCGCCTTTCCCTTCTCTTCCAGCCACATGAGGACGGTCCCCTCTATTTCCCGGCGGTCACCACCATCAGCCTGGGCTCCCACACTTCCCTCGACTTCTACCATCCGGTCGGGAGAGGGCAGCAAGAGGAAGGCGGAGAGGTAACACAAATGCTCCAGATATCCTTTGGAAAAAAAAATCACATGATTGACACTTTTTGCTGATTCTGGCTGGACGCAACTTGCAAGCCTTTGCTGGTCAGATTGATTGCTAAGATCCATATTCATTGCAGTTTGTAATGGTACAATAAACAAAAATGAGAGAGAGAAATAAAAGTGATAGATTCAGGATAAATGTTGTTTCTGGTTGCTTGAGAGTGACTATTAAAAAATTAGCCTAGCTAATAGTATGCCCCGTGTATTGACTTGATATTAATATTGAAACACGGTAATAAAAAGCAAACAAAGGCAAATTTGACTCAATGCAACACAGCTTTGGTTGTATTATGTATATAAATAAATTTTATAGTATTATTTCTTTGTTTTTGTGTCGGTTGCTTGAGAGAGTTCCAGTTGCTTGAGTTCTGGTTAATTGAGAGTCACTGTGTGTGTGTGTGTGTGTATATATATGTGTGTGTGTATATAATTCTATTATATGTGTGTATGTGTGTGTGTATGTATATATATATAATTCTGATATATGTGTGTGTGTATATATAGATATAATTCTATGATATATATATATGTGTGTGTGTGTGTATTATTCTATGGTGTGTGTGTATATATATATATTATATATATGTGTATGTATATATATATATATATATTATACTCATTTCCACCTAATTCCAAGGAAGCCCCTCGAGTGCTGGACGAGTGCCTGGCCGCTGTGTCTATCTGGATGAGGAAGAACAAGCTGAAGATCAATCCCGACAAGACAGAGGTCCTCCTGGTCGATCGTAAACCGATCGGGGTATAGGGTGGCAACCTGTGTTGGACGGGGTTACACTCCCCCTGAAGCCACAGGTCCGCAGTTTGGGAGTCCTCTTGGATTCATCGCTTACGCTTGAGGCTCAGGCGTCGGCGGTGACCGGGAGGGCTTTTGCACAATTGAGACTTGTGCGCCAACTGCGACCGTACCTCGTGAAGGCTGATCTGGCCGGGGTGGTCCACGCCTTGGTCACCTCTAGAATGGATTACTGCAATGCGCTCTACGTGGGGCTGCCCTTGAAGACGGCTCGGAAACTTCAATTGGTCCAGCGGGCAGCAGCTAGGATGCTAACTGGAGCCCATTATCAAGAGAGGTCTACCCCTCTGTTTAAGGAGCTCCACTGGCTGCCATTTATTTTCCGAGCCCAATTCAAGGTGCAGGTGCTCACCTACAAAGCCCTGAACGGTTTGGGACCACCCTACCTGCGTGACCGCATCTCCATCTACGAACCCACACGCTCGCTCCGGTCATCTGGGGAGGCCCTGCTCGTGATCCCACCTACATCGCAAGCGCGCTTGGTGGGGACGCGGGACAGGGCCTTCTCTGTGGCGGCCCCCCGACTTTGGAATGCCCTTCCAAAAGAGCTCCGTCAGGCCCCTACTCTAGCAGTTTTCAAAAGGAACCTAAAAACTTGGCTGTTCCGATGTGCCTTCGCAGATTAGGAATCCCCATCCTAAGTCCTAGATGCACTTTGGCACAACTAATGTGGCTGCACACCGCACTTTAATCCTACGTTCCTCCTGCCATCTCAGCACTTTTAACCCTGTACCCCATTGCGCTGGCCGATCCAGTTTTTAATAGTGTCTTGATGTTTTGTCATTGTGGTTACTTTGCTTAATTGTTTTGATTTGTTTGTAATTTGCTTTAGGTATTGTATTGTTGTACTGTGTTTTGAGGCTTCGGCCTATGTAAGCCGCATCGAGTCCTTCGGGAGATGCTAGCGGGGTACAAATAAAGTTAATAATAATAATAATAATAATAATAATAATAAATAATATATGTCTGTATATTATTCTATGATGTGTATATATACATTATTCTATGATATATGTGTGTGTATATATATATTATTCTATGATATATGTGTGTGTATATATATATTATTCTATGATATATATGTATGTATATTATTCTATGACGTGTATATACATTATTCTATGATATATATGTCTATATATTATTCTATGCTGTGTATATATACATTATTCTATGACATATATGTGTGTGTGTATATTATTCTATGATATATATGTGTGTATATATATTATTATGTGTGTGTGTATATATATATTATTCTATGATATCTATGTGTGTGTGTATATATATATTCTATGATATATGTCTCTCTCTGTGTTCATATATATATAATTCTATTATATGTGTGTGGTTGTGTGTGTGTGTGTATGTATGTATATATATATATATATATGTGTGTGTACATATATATACACACACGCATATGTTTATGTACACACAGACATATATCTATTTCCATACCTCTCTAACATTGACACTAATTTCCTTTCCATAACCCGTCCTTTCTAATCACCAAAAACAAACATTAATAACTCATGTTATTTGTCAAAAATGCATAATTATCTCTAATGATCTTTAGTTTAATCAAACATAATAATGTATCAGTTAACAATACTTATACGTACATAAACAGACTTGGGAAAAAAACAATTCTATACCTACACAGTTTCTCTTACCAACGTACATCTCTAATTCCATGTAACTCTGCCTGACTGAACGAGGTGGACTAGATGCCCTTTGGGGGTCTCTATAGTTTAATTAATTTTTTTGGTCACATGTCTTAAATCCAGTGAATTAATTCTTTCTTCTTTAAAAAAACAAACATTTTTCTGTCTCAGAAATCTAAGATTTGCCTTTATCTTCCAGGCTTCGGTCCCGCAGACGGAAGAGCAGCGCCGCTTCCTGTCTTTGCTGCTTCAGCCCCGAAGCCTCTTGGTTTTGAGGGAAGACATGTATGTCCGCTACCTTCACGGCATCCGTCCCATCACGGAAGATGCCGTCACGGGACACATGGCCAACGCCTGCGGGTACGAACCCGGATCCACGCTGCAGCGGGGGACACGCGTGTCGCTCACCATCCGCCGGGTCCCCAAAGTGCTGAAAACCTCAATTCTTCTGGGAAGAAGAAAGTGATTTGTTTTGCTTTGCAGGGCTGTAAATCTCTATAACTAAAAATGTAATGTTCGTTTGTGGGATTAACATAACTCAGAAACCACTGGACGAATTGACACGAAATTTGGACACAAGACACCCCTAACAGACCAATGAGTGTTCATCACCCCTAAAATTACAGGGAAAAAAACACAACCCAACATCAACAACATCAACAACAAAAAGCCCTAGCAGAACAGACTTAAAAACCCCCAAAATACACCATACATACATATATCCATATCCATATATATATATATATATATATATATATATATATATATATATATATACACACACACACAATATACTATATTATTCCATCAACAATGGAATTGAACCAAACTTGGCACACAGAACTCCCATGATCAGTAGAAAATACTGAAAGGGTTTGGTGGGAATTGAGCTTGAGTTTGGAAGTTGTAGTTCACCTACATCCAGAGAGCAGTGTGGACTCAAACAATGATGGATCTGGACCAAACTTGGCATGCATACCCAATATTCCTAAATTTGCATTTGGATTTTGAGGGGAATTGGCCTGGACATTTTGGAGTTGATACTGGGATTTATAGTTCACCTGCAATTAATGAGCATTCTGGACTCCACCAAAGATGGGATTAGACCAAACTTGGCACACAGAGCTCCAATGACCAACAGAAAATACTGAAAGATTTTGGAGGGCATTGAACTTCAGTTTTGGAGTTGTAGTTCACCTACATCCAGAGAGCACTGTGGGCTTAAACAATGATGGATCTGGACCAAACTTGTCACAAATATTCCGTATGCCCAAAGTGAACACTGGTGGAGTTTGGGGAAAATAGACCTTGACATTTTGGAGTTGTAGTTGCTGGGATTTATAGTTCACCTACAATCAAAGAGCATTCTGAACTCCACCAACATGGAATTGAACCAAGCCTGGCACACAGAACTCCCATGACCAACAGAAAACACTAGAAGGGTTTGGTGGGCTTTGATCTTGGTTTGGGAGTTGTAGTTCACCTACATCCAGAGAGCACTGTGGACTCAAACAATGATGGATCTGGACCAAACTTGGTATGCATACCCGATATGCCCAAATTTGAATCCTGGTGGCTTGTCAGGGGAATTGACCTGGACATTTGGGAGTTGATACTGGGATTTATAGTTCACCTGCAATCAATTAGCATTCTGAACTCTACCCAACATGGAATTGGACCATACTTGCCACACACAGCTCCCATGACCAACAGAAAATACTGGAGGTCTTTGGGGAAAATTCACCTTGATTTGGGGAGTTGTAGTTCACCTACATCAGAGAGCACTGTGAACCCAAACAATTATGATCTGGACCAAACTTGGCATGCATACCCGATATGCCCAAATTGGAATCCTGGTGGGTTTTGAGGGGAATGGACCTGGACATGTTGGGAGTTTTAGGTACTGGGATTTATAGTTCACCTGCAATATAAGTATACTCTGAACTCTACCAACAACGGACCTGGAACTAACTTAGGAACTGGGATTTATAGTTCACCTGCAATCAATGAGCAAGCTGAACTTCACCAAAGATGGAGTTTAGGAACTGGGATTTATAGTTCACCTGCACTCAGTGAGCAATCTGAACTCTACCAAAGATGGCGTTTAGAAATTGGGATTTATAGTTCACCTGCAATCAATGAGCAAGCTGAACTCCACCAAAGATGGAGTTTAGGAACTGGGATTTATAGTTCACCTGCACTCAGTGAGCAATCTGAACTCTACCAAAGATGGCGTTTAGAAATTGGGATTTATAGTTCACCTGCAATCAATGAGCAAGCTGAACTCCACCAAAGATGGAGTTTAGGAACTGGGATTTATAGTTCACCTGCTGTCAGTGAGCACTCTGAACGTCCCCAAAGATGGAATTGAACCAAACTTGGAACACAGAACTCCCATGAGCAGCAAAAAAAAGTACTGAAGGTCTTTGGAGAAAATTCACCTTGATTTGGGGGAGTTGTAGTTCACCTACCTACATACAGAGAGCACTGTGAACCCAAACACAGATGGATCTGGACCAAACTTGGCACACATACCTGTTATACTGAAATTAGATTACTGGAGGAGTTTGGGGGGGGGGGGGGACTGACCATCCTTTCTGGGAGTTGTAGTTCACCCACAACCAGAAATGGTGACCTCCAAGGATGATGGACTTGGACGAAACTTGGCACACACAATCCCCATGACTAACTCAACCTACTGGAGGAGCTTGAGGGGACTGACTCACCATAGTGGGAGTTGTAGTTTGCCCTACAGCCACATTCACATCCCTTTGCTGCTCATTTTCTTTGGAGGCTTCGAGTGTATTTCTGAAAGGTCAATGAATATTTCAATGAGAGAAAGAGAGGGGGAAAATTATGAAGGAGAGCAGCAATCTGGTTTAGGTCAATGTCCTTGTTTGACCCCCATTTTGCTCCTTGGCTTCCCAGGTTTTCGTATGTATTTGGAGAAGAAATCCATCACAATATATAATTCAATAATCAAGGCGGTCTCTGAGCATGTGCAAAGTATTTTTCACCCCACTCCTATGAGTTTGCCTTTCCATCGATTGGTGGAGAGAAAACAATAATAATAATAATAATAATAATAATAATTATTATTATTATTATTATTTCTTAAAATTTGGATTTAAGAAGCAGAACTTCCAAGCGGAAGCCTGCAGATGGGTCTGAGAAAGGCCTCTGAGCATGAGCAGAGTGCATTTCATCCCACTTCCATGGGAATACAATTCAATTTCCCATAAGTCTGGATTTAAAGAAGCAGGAATTCCAAATTGAAGGCTGAAAATGTGTCCCAGCAGGACCTCTGAGCATGTGCAGAGTGCATTTTCATCTTACCCATAAACCTGGATTTAAAGAGGCAGGACTTCCCAACTGAAGGCTGAAAATGAGTCCCAGCAAGTCCTCTGAGCATGTGCAGAATGCATTGTCGTCTCCTTGCCCATAAACCTGGATTTAAAGATGCAGGACTTCCAGATTGAAGGCTGAAAATGGGTTCGAGCAGGGCCTCTGAGCATGTACAGAGTGCATTTCATCCCACTTCCATGGAAATACAATTTGATTTCCCATACGTTTGGATTTAACGAAGCAGGAATTCCAAATTGAAGGCTGAAAATGGGTCCCAGCAGGACCTCTGAGCATGTGCAGAGTGCATTTTAATCTCATTACCTGTAAACCTGGATTTAAAGAGGCAGGACTTCCAAATTGAAGGCTGAAAATGGGTCCCAGCAGGGCCTCTGAGCATGTGCAGAGAGCATTTTCCCCACACTTTTGTGAAAATACAATTTGCTTCCTCATAAGTCTGGATTTACAGAGGCAGGACTCCTAAATTGAAGCCTGCAGATGGGTCCGAGCCAAGCCTCTGAGCATGTGTAGAGTGCATTTTCATTTCTATGCCCATAAACCTGGATTTAAAGGGACAGGACTTCCAAACTGAAGGCTGAAAATGGGTCCCAGTAGGGCCTCTGAGCAAGTGCAGAGTGCAATTTCATCTCTTTACCCATAAACCTGGATTTAAAGAGGCAGGACTTCCCAACTGAAGGCTGAAAATGGGTCCCAGCAGGGCTTCTGAGCATGTGCAGAGTGCATTTTCATCACACTTCTATGAAAATACAATTCACTTCCTCATAAGTCTGGATTTAAATAGGCAGGGCTCTCAAATTGAAGTCTGCAGATGGGTCTGAGCAAAGCCTCTGAGCATGTGCAGAGTGCATTTTCATCTTTATGCCCATAAACCTGGATTTAAAGAGGCAGGACTTCCAAATTGAAGACTACAGATGGACCTGAGCAAGGCCTCTGAGCATGTGCAAAGTGCATTTCCATTCCCTCCCATGAATCCACAGATTTCTGCTGTGGTTTTATTATAGTCCCCTTTTCCCTTGTAAAGATGTGCAGGATTTATGCAAGAGCGGCCACAAATCTGTTGGGAAAAGGAGGAGCAGAGTGTGTTTGTGTTAAAAGACAAAAATAGCAAGCCCTGGAGACAAAGGAAAGCAGGAGGAGGAAGCGGCGGCGTTGGTGCTTGCCTTGGTCACAAAGAACACTTTCTATCACAAGCGAAATGGCATGGGTTTCATTCCCAGAAAAAGGCTAGATGTGTAGTACTCTCTTGCATAGCAAAGTACTGCCGGGCCTCCGTATCCACGGTTTCAGCATCCACGGATTGAGCCATGCATGGTGTGTTTACACTGTTGCATTAATGCAGTTTAGCGCCACTTTAATTGCTGCAGCTCCATGCTATGGGATCCTGGATAATGTACATGCATAGTGAGAGGTCATAATAATGGGAAGCAAGGCGTTTTATTTGGGTTTGTCCATAAATAGCAAGTATATATTACGGACTGTCCATAAATAGCAAGTCCAAGGTATATATTAATTAGTTTTTACTGTAATGAAAAAGGCACTTCGTCACTAAAACATGATTCATTGGGCTACTTTCGTCCTTCCTTCCTTCCCTCTTTCCTTCCTCCTTCCCTCTTTCTCCTTCCATCCTTCCCTTCCTCTCTTTTGTCCTTCCTCCTTCTGTCTTTCCTTCCTCCATCCCTTCCTTCCCTTCTGTCTGTCTTGTCTTTCCTTCCTTCCCTCTTTCCCTTTCTCTTTCCATCCTTCCCTTCCTCCCATTCATCCTTCCTTCCTTCTGTCTTTCCTTCTTTCATCCCTTCCTTCCCTTCCATTCGTCTTGTCATTCCTTCCTTTCTTCTTTCCTCCTTCTTTCCATCTTTCTCCTTCCATCCTTCCCTTCTCCTTCATCCTTCCTTCCTTCTTTTCTTTCCTTCCCTTCCTTCCCTTCCATTCGTCTTGTCTCCTTCCTTTCTTCTTTCCTCCTTCTTTCCCTCTTTCTCCTTCCTTTCTTCTTTCCTCCTTCTTTCCCTCTTTCTCCTTCCATCCTTCCCTTCCTCCCTTTCATCCTTCCTTCCTTCTGTCTTTTCTCAGGCCCTCCTCTCCTTCATTATCCCATCCTTCCTTCTCTCTTTCCTTCCTCCTTCCCTCCCTTCCTTCCCTCTCTCTTTCTCCCTTCCTCCTTCCTTCCCTTCTACTCTTTCATCCTTCCTTCCCTTTTCCTCCTTCCCTCTTTCTCTTTCTCCTTCTCCTTCCCTTCCTCTTCTTCTTTCTCCTCTTCTCATCTTCTTTCTCCTTCCTTTCTTCTTCTTCTCTCTTTCCTTTTTCTTCTCCTTCTTCCCTTTCTTCCTTCCTTCTTTCTTCCCTTCTTTCCTTCTTCTCCTTCCTTTTTTCTTTCTTCTCTTTCCCTTTCTTCTTCCTCTTCTTTTCTCTTCTTCCTTCTCTCTCTTTTCCATCTTTCCTTTCTCTCTCTTCTTCCTTCCTTCCTCTTTCTCCTTCCCTCTCACTCTTTCTTCTTCCTTCTTTCTGTCTTCCTTCCTTTTCTCTTTTCTTTTTCCTTCCTCTTCCCATATTTCCATCCTTCCCTTCCATCCTTTCTTTTATCCCTTTTCTTTCTTTCCCTTTTATCTTTCCTCTTAATCTTCCCCGTCCCTTACACTTAATTTCCTCCCTTTCGTACATATTATGTAGGAACATTAATACTCACCAACCATTATTTGCCAGGGGCAGTACTGATCATTAATCCTACATTTCATTTGTTTTAAAAATGTCCCAGTTTCTCTCTCCAGCTCTCACTTTCCCCCTTTCTCCTTAACTTTCTCCAGTTTCTGCAAATGGAGGCCCCATATACATTGCCATATAATGCAGTTCAATCTGCATTAAAATGGCAGTGTAGATGGGGGCCTGAGTTCAGAGTGCTAAAGGAATTTTCACTTGGTCAACTCCGTCATCATTTCCTCTCTTTTCCTTCCTCCTACTTCCTCTTCCTCCTTCCTTCAATTCTATCCTTATTTATTTACTTTATATCTTCCTTCCTTCCTCTTTCCTTACTTCACTCTTTATCATTCTTTACCTATCTTTATCCAGGTATTATTCATTATTTCCTTACTTAATTTCTATTTTTCTTCTGCCACTTTTAGAATGTGTCACTTAATTATCTTTTTTGTATTTGCATCAGATATTTTAGACAGTCAGAAAAAGATGAATTCAATAAATTATGACACATTTCATCAGCATGCTCCATCAGAACAAAAGTGCACAGGAGTTTCAAAGAGTTTAAAAATGAAATGAAAAGAAAGCCTAATTTATAGATTTTTTTGCTTTCTCATTCCTTCCTTCTTTCCTTCCCTTTTGTCTTTCCTTCCTTCCCTCTTTCCTCCCTCCTTCCCTCTTTCTCCTTTCATTCTTCCTTCCTCTCCTTTCCTTTTCCCTTCCTTTCCTCTTTCCTCCTTCCTTTCCTCTCTCCCTCTTTCTCCTTCCATTCTTCCTTTCCTCCTTTCCTTTTGTCTTTCCTTCCTTCCTTCCATCTTCCCTTCTTCCCTCCTTCCCTCTCTCCTTCCATTCTTCCCATGCTTCCTTCCTTCCTTTCTCCCTCCCTCCCTCCCCTTCCCTCTTTCCCTTCCTCCCTTCCATCCTGTTTTCCTTCCTGTTAATCTTTCCTTCCTTTCCTCTTTCCTCCCTCCTTCCCTCTCTCCCTCTTTCTCCTTCCATTCTTCCCTTCCTCCATTTCGTCCTTCCTTCCCTCTTGTCTTTCCTTCCTTCCTTCCCTCTTCCTTCCCTTCTTCCCTGCTTCCCTCTCTCTTTCCATCCTTCCATTCTTCCCATGCTCTCTCCCTCCCTCCCTCCCATCCTTTCCCTTCCTTTCATCTTTCCTTCCTTTCCTCTTTCCTTCCTTCTCCCTCTTTCTCCTTTTGTCTTTCCTTCCTTCTCTCTATCCTTCCTTCCCTCTTGTCTTTCCTTCCTCCCTTCCCTCTTTCTTCCCTTCCTCCCTCTCTCCTTCCATTCTTCCCATGCTTCCTTTCATCCATCCTTCCTTCCCTTCGTTCCTTCCCTTCCAGCCTTTCATCCTTCTTTCCTTCCCTATCGTCTTTCCTTCCTTCCCTCTTTCCTCCCTCTTTCCTCTTTCTTCTTCCATCCTTCCCTTTCTCCCTTCCTTTCATCCTCCCTTCTTTTTCCTTCCTCCTTCCCTTCCTTCCATTTCTTATGTCCTACAGTTATATACGTATTATAATACGTATACATATATGAAACACACACACACACACACACACACACACACACACACACACACACACACATATATATATATATATATATATATATATATATATATATATATATATATAAATGTTGGTGTAGATGCAACCAGGAAAGTTTGGGAAGGCCGGAAAGGGCCAAGAGCGCATTCCTGGTTGGAGAGACTCCCTCAAGGATCCTGTATACCTGGTTTGCAGGTGTGACTTAGCTCAATGCCTTTTACCTTTCGCCTAGCCCAAAACGAGGCTCACCTGGCTCTCACCTGGGCTGGGCGTGTTTATTTTCTTCCCCTGGTTTCCATCCGTTGGTTGGAGCGTCGGGTTACCTGCCAACCTGACCCCTCCCTGTTCCTCTTTGTGCAGGTATCTCTCTCTACGGCTCCGCACACCTGGGCAGAGATTCCTGGTAAGGAAAAGCAACAGGTATATCTATCCTTCTCTAAGGTAAAGGAGCAGATGGAGGACTGTGTCTCTTTTGGGAAGCACCTGATGATGCAAGGGATCCATCCGAAAGGCCTTGGGATACCTGTTTAATGATTGACAGGTGGGGAAAGCAAAAGGTCAGGCTCTACATTGGAAAGGGTGTCGGGTTGCCGGGCGGATTTCTTCTCCCCGGCACCATAGGACCCAATACAGCCTAGCTTTCCAGGTGAGTACATCTATATCATTTATGGGGCATCTATATCAGGCCTGGGCCAGGTTGGGCCCTCCAGGTGTTTTGGACTGCAACTCCCACAATTCCTAACAGCTGATAGGCTGTTAGGAATTGTGGGAGTTGTAGTCCAAAACACCTGGAGGGCCCGACCTGGCCCAGGCCTGATCCACAATGCACTCTGTTACCACTTTTCCCTGCATTTTCTTGCTAAAGCGCCCCCTTCTTTGCAAGGTAAACAAAAGGAGATAAAGGGTGACATTATGCACTCTGTGAATGCTCAGAGGCTAATGTTTCCTTTACTGTATTCGTGGTGGAAAAAGGAAGGAAGGAAGGAAGGAAGGAAGGAAGGAAGGAAGGAAGGAAGGAAGAATGAAAGAGGAAGGGAAAGAAGGAAGGAAAGAGAAGGAAGGAAGGAAGTAAAGGGAAGGGAAAGGAAGAGGAAGGAAGGAGGAAGAGGAAAGGGAAGGAAAGAAGAAGGAAGAAAAGGAAGGGAAAGAAGGAAGGGAAGGGAGGAAGAAGGAAGGAAGGAAGGGAAAGAGGAGAAGGAAAGAGGAAGGAAAGAAGGAGAAAGGGAAGAAAGGAAGAAAAGAAGGAGGGAAGGAAAGAAGGAAAGAGAAGAAAGAAGGAAAGAGAAGGAGGAAGGAAGTAAAGGGAAGGAAAAGGAAGGGAGGAAGGAAGAAGAAAGGAGAAAGAAGGGGATGAAGAAAGGGAAGGGAGGAAGGAAGAGAAGAAAAGGGGAAGGGAAGGGAAAGGAAGAGGAAGAAAGAGAAGGAAGAAGAGAAAGAGAAGGAAGGAAGAAGGGAAGGAAGGAAAGAAGGAAAAAGGAAAGAAGGAAGGAAGGAGGAAGGAAAGAAGGAAGGAAGGAAGGAGAAGGAGGAAGGAAGTAAAGGGAAGGAAAAGGAAGGGAGGAAGGAAGGGAAGAAAAGGAGGAAAGGGAAGGGAAAGAAAGGGAGGGAGGAAAGAGGAAGGAAAGAAGGAGAAAGGGAAGAAGGAAGGAAGGAGGAAGGAAAGAAGGAAGGAAGGAAGGAGAAGGAGGAAGGAAGTAAAGGGAAGGAAAAGGAAGGGAGGAAGGAAGGGAAGAAAAGGAGGAAAGGGAAGGGAAAGAAAGGGAGGGAGGAAAGAGGAAGGAAAGAAGGAGAAAGGGAAGAAGGAAGGAAGGAAGGAGGAGGGAGGAAGGAAGAAGAAAGGGAGAAGGAAGGAAGGAAGAGAGGGGAGGAGGAAGGAAGAAAAGAAAAAGAAGGAAAGGAGGAGGAGGAGGGAAAAAGAAAGGAAGGAGGAAGGAAGGGAGGAGGAGGAGGAAGGAGGAAAGGAAGAAAGAAGGAAGGAGAAAGAAGGAAGGGAAAGAAAGAAGGAAAAGAATAAAAGGAAAGGAAGGAGGTAGGAGGAGGTGAAAAAGAAAGAAAGAAAGAGAAAGAGGAAGGGAAGAAAGAAAGAAAAACATTATATTATATTATATTCATTTCATATAAATTTCCTTCATAAACAAAGCTTGGACAGTTTTCCCTTGACACTTCTTATGTCCTACAGTTATATATATATATATATATCAAGATATAATATATTAAATATTATATATATATATATATATATATATATATATAACATTATTATTATATTATAGTACATTATAATACTAGTAATGATAATACAATACTATAATTTATATATTTACATTACATGTAATATATATTCTTCAAATAAAATATATTAAATATTACAATATATATATATAATACAATTATTATCATTATATTATATTGGACATTTTCCCCTTGACACTTCTTATGTCCTACATACTTGTGTAGTTTACAAGGCTTGAGACCTTGCAAAACTACAATGCCCAGGGTCTCATAGCATTGAAAGCCGCTAAAGTGCCGTGAAATCGCATCCATTGGGCAGTGTAGATCCACTCCAGACAGTTTTCCTTTCTTTAGAACGTCACTTTGCATTTTATCGTTCCTCCTTTGTGTATTTTCCAAACATTGCAAACATTTCCAGGGCAGCTAAAGCAAACAGCGCGGCGTTCCTCTCCGAACGGTTGCTGCAGCGAAAGCAAACAGACTTTGAATATGTTTTGTTTTTAAATTGTGAATTTTGTAATACTGTTTATATTGAATCCTGTTTTGCATATTTGTATGCATATCTCTCCTTCTGGAGAGTTAAAGCAGGGCAATAATAATAATACTAATAATAATACTAATAATAATAATAATATATTGCACTGGAGTTGGAAGGGAGCAGTAATTAGGAGTAATTTAGTAGTAATTTATTTAGTAGTAATTTATTTCCAACATCTTTGAACCCTTGTCTAAGATTCAAAGCTAATTCTATGATATAAAGATCAGAAGGAGGAAACTTAGGGCAAGAGAGCTGTCTTGCAAAAAAATGCACAATTAAAAAAATATTTTTTTGCCATCAGACTCATATTCTGATGCTTTTTGCAATCATGGAAGTGACTTTTGCATCATTTCCAGGCAGACGGGAAAAGGCCATCATTGCACATTCCTAAATTCAGTGCCAGGAGAGATTCCCAACCCTCTGTCTGCAACGCTTTGCATTAGCTCCTTGCCAATATCAACATAGACTTCTGTGCTTTGTGGTTGGTGCCACGTGGATTTGTAAACAGCAAAGTACAACCTTTGTGAATCCAGATGAACCCAACTGTATTTCCCAACTCTCAAGTCTATCGTGGTGCATCTATCTATGCGCTCGCATTAAATCGCTCTGCACATGTTCAGAGGCGCTGCACAGATCCATCTGCAGAATTGGGTTTTGTAGCTTTAAATCCAGGTTTATAGGGACAGCAAGCTCTGGTTGCATGGGAAACAAGATGAAAAAGCACTCTGCACATGCTCAGAAATCCTGTTCAAACTCATCTGCAGCTCCAGTTTGGAATTCCTGCCTCTTAGGCCCTCTGAGCATGTGCAAAATGCTTTTTTATAGGGAAGGCAAAACTGGTTTCATGGGAATGGGATGTAAAGCATTCTGCACATGCTCAGAAGAACCCTCTCCCTAACTTTGAGAGAAAGCACTCTGCACATGCTCAGAAGAACCCTCTCCCTAACTTTGAAAAGCACTCTGCACATGCTCAGAAATCCTGTTCAAACTTATCTGCAGCTCCAGTTTGGATTTCCTGCCTCTTAGGCCCTCTGAGCATGTGCAAAATGCTTTTTTATAGGGAAGGCAAAACTGGTTTCATGGGAATGGGATGTAAAGCATTCTGCACATGCTCAGAGGACCTGCTCAAACCCATCTAGAGATGAAAAGCACTCTGCACATGCTCAGAAATCCTGTTCAAACTTATCTGCAGCTCCAGTTTGGATTTCCTGCCTCTTAGGCCCTCTGAGCATGTGCAAAATGCTTTTTTATAGGGAAGGCAAAACTGGTTTCATGGGAATGGGATGTAAAGCATTCTGCACATGCTCAGAGGACCTGCTCAAACCCATCTAGAGATGAAAAGCACTCTGCACATGCTCAGAGGACCTGCTCAAACCCATCTAGAGATGAAAAGCACTCTGCACATGCTCAGAAATCCTGTTCAAACTTATCTGCAGCTCCAGTTTGGATTTCCTGCCTCTTAGGCCCTCTGAGCATGTGCAAAATGCTTTTTTTATAGGGAAGGCAAAACTGGTTTCATGGGAATGGGATGTAAAGCACTCTGTGCATGCTCAGAGGTACTTTGCAGATCTATCTGCAGGCTTCACTTTGGAAGCCTTAAATTCCTGGCTTATAGGGACGGCAAACTCTGGTTGCATGGGGAATGAGATGAAAAGCACTCTGCACATGCCCAGAGGCCCTGCTCAAACCCATCTAAAGATGAAAAGCATTCTGCGCATGCTCAGAGGCCCTGCTCAAACCCATCTAGAGATGGAAAGCATTCTGCACATGCTCAGAGGACCTGCTCAAACCCATCTAGAGATGAAAAGCACTCTGCACATGCTCAGATGCCCTGCTCAAACGCATCTAAAGATGAAAAGCATTCTGCACATGCTCAGAGGTCCTGCTCAAACCCATCTAGAGATGAAAAGCACTCTGCACATGCTCAGAGGACCTAATCAAACCCATCTAGAGATGAAAAGCACTCTGCACATGCTCAGAGGGCCTGCTCAAACCCATCTAGAGATGAAAAGCACTCTGCACATGCTCAGAGGCCCTGCTCAAACCCATCTAGAGATGAAAAGCACTCTGCACATGCTCAGAGGACCTGCTCAAACCCATCTAGAGATGAAAAGCACTCTGCACATGCTCAGAGGGCCTGCTCAAACCCATCTAGAGATGAAAAGCACTCTGCACATGCTCAGAGGGCCTGCTCAAACCCATCTAGAGATGAAAAGCACTCTGCACATGCTCAGAGGCCTGCTCAAACCCATCTAGAGATGAAAAGCACTCTGCACATGCTCAGAGGACCTGCTCAAACCCATCTAGAGATGAAAAGCACTCTGCACATGCTCAGAGGACCTGCTCAAACCCATCTAGAGATGAAAAGCACTCTGCACATGCTCAGAGGACCTGCTCAAACCCATCTAGAGATGAAAAGCACTCTGCACATGCTCAGAGGGCCTGCTCAAACCCATCTAGAGATGAAAAGCACTCTGCACATGCTCAGAGGACCTGCTCAAACCCATCTAGAGATGAAAAGCACTCTGCACATGCTCAGAGGACCTGCTCAAACCCATCTAGAGATGAAAAGCACTCTGCACATGCTCAGAGGACCTGCTCAAACCCATCTAGAGATGAAAAGCACTCTGCACATGCTCAGAGGACCTAATCAAACCCATCTAGAGATGAAAAGCACTCTGCACATGCTCAGAGGGCCTGCTCAAACCCATCTAGAGATGAAAAGCACTCTGCACATGCTCAGAGGGCCTGCTCAAACCCATCTAGAGATGAAAAGCACTCTGCACATGCTCAGAGGCCCTGCTCAAACTCATCTAGAGATGAAAAGCACTCTGCACATGCTCAGAGTACCTGCTCAAACCCACCTGCAGCAACTC